CTCAAAAGAATCCAAAAGTTCTTGCAAAAATTTTTTATTGTTTCTAATACTTCCTTCGAATATTTCGGTGCCTAGCACCTTCCTCAGCGATCTGGTCTTCTGCCTCCAATATAGCCTCCGCCGCTCCTTGCAAAAGTGCGACTTCTAGTGTTGACTCAATAACACTAGAAGTCGCACTTTTGCAAGGAGCGGCAGAGGCTATATTGGAGGCAGAAGACCAGATCGCTGAGGAAGGTGCTAGGACACCGAAATATTCGAAGGAAGTATTAGAAACAATAAAAAATTTTTGCAAGAACTTTTGGATTCTTTTGAGTCTTTTGAGTTTTTTGCAATAAATTTTTTGGCGCCTCTTTCACGTGTTTCATGTTCAGATTACAATGAGGCTCCGGGACAGCACCATATTTAAGATATTCAATATTGTGTTTTTTCCCTAGCCCCCTCTGTGGCGCCGCTTTTTCATCGCTCATCAAGGCAGGATGTGAAGGCAAACACCGTGGCACGTGTATGTCCCCGCCCATTCACATCAGCCGCGGAATTAGCTTCTGCAGACTTTTTGATTATGCCACATGCGCCTTCAGGTCTTTCCGGATTGCAGGGTCCTAAGGGGTTTCTGTTTTAGTCCACATCGGAACCAGCAGTTGATGAGTAGAGAACTGGAAGTACTACAAGGGCAGTCATTGCTTCATTTAGAATCGGGTAGGGTGCTGTGGTATACTTGAGATAATTTCACCTTCTGTTCCCGGTCTTTGAAGGCACACTATCCCAATCTGATTTCTAATGAGACGCCATTGAAAATACGAAATTCTCTTGTGAATCACCTTTTGATGAAGTACTTGGAAATAAATGAATAATGTGGTTCATTTTTGAGCTCAATTTGCAGGAAAAAGAGTCACTCATTCGACAAAACCACAGCGCTAACGCTACAGCTGAGGAATTGCGTAATCAATTAGCTGCAGCCGAATCGGCTGCTGACGGACTTGCTGAGAGGCTCAAACGGGCACAGGCCGACGCAGAAAGTTGGAAGCGGAAACATGAAGAGGCGGTGCAAGAGGCTAAGAACGACATCATCCATGAGAGGTATGTGTAATACGATTGCTGATTTTAACAAGCGTAGGCCCAAAAAACTTCTTCATGGGATTGACTACGGAACTTTTGAAGGGTTGGGTCTGACTCCGCCCACTTGATCAGCTTGTATACACTGAATCATGTAACTCGCATTCGATTCGACTATCACGGGTGCTAAATGTGTAAAGATTTTTGAGAAGACGCGCCTGTTCGGAATTTCTTCAATAGTAGACAGGTCGTAGACCTTCACTGCTCTCATTTCCAACATAAGAACCGGTCAATAAATCAGGACCTTGCGATGCAATAGATTGATTTCAGTCTTTTGCTCACGTTTTTCTGGTCTGCACACCTAATTAATATCCAAATGCAAAAAAGGCGTTTCGGCGTCAAACTCTCGGCGGCGGCAGCTGAGAAGGCCCAGAAAGGGGAGACTTACCATTAGAGACGTATCTCTAGCAATAAGAGAGTGAGGTCAGCATGGAAATACGCAACCGTCGCCGCGGGAGCTTCTAACATGAGAAGTTAGCGTGCGAATGGCTTGGGAACACCCCTTCTCGCCCTCTGATATGGGCTGTATGGACAGCGACACAGCGGTCCATCTGTGAAGATATCCTCTCTGAGTATCCCATTAGATTCCCACGCGCTCTCCTGAATGCCACCAAAATTATCCCTTGTGGGACAGTGCGATTTTTATAGTTTAAGCAGAAGATCATGTGATCACCGGGCGTCACACTATAAGGCTTCAGAGCAACACTCTCCGACTCTTCGGATTTTCAGTCTCAGTTCCCCCCTTTCTTCGTTTTGGACAAGAGCAATCCTCCCACTGGTTAGCTTTCTACTACGGAATGTGTCACTCCTTCTGAACACAAGGCGTGCAGCCGTTGAGGAGCAATTTCGCAATAGACGCCTCCCCCATTCTTCCTCTGCCCTTTCACTACGACCCTCTTCACTATACCCACATCCCCCCACCCTACCTTCCAAGTTCCTATCTTACAACCGTTCCGAAGTTTTTTCCCAAAAAAAGCTGCCACCAAGCGGCTCACTGTGGCGCACTCACGCATAACAGGAAATACCAAAAAAATTAGCACCGAAAGCAATTTTCGCCAAAAAGGCAAATACGGACCCCTTTCTCCTCCCTGCCTACCTCGTGCGACCCCAGAAACAGTCCCTTTGCTGGATCCCCCAGCATGCAACGCTGGCACTGCTCCCCTAACTAAAAAGATAGCGTACCGAAAAATCAACAGACGTGCATTGTTCAGGAACACGCAGACAGCCAGAAAGGAGTTTGCCGCATGTCAACACGAGTTCGCTTTGCGAAACGCAAGGCGTGGAACGGATGACGCGGAACGTGAACGTCTACGCGAAGAATTGGCGCGTGTACAAGTGGAGTTGGACCGAGCCGTGACTACGATCCGCCAACTTGAAGGAAGTATTCAGACCCAGGTGGGGCGGCAATGTTTATCGGTAAATTACTCGACTGGTGTCAAAAACGATGGCCTAGACATTTTCTTTTGTTCCAGATCTATCGAAGTCACGAAGAGGAAACTTGTCGGCGCCTATCTGACTTTAATGGTTCTCCATTATAGATTCAATTTTCTTCAAATTTTGAGCACATTTCATACAAAATACACAATATTTGCCCTTAAAAATCGCAGGATTCAGTCCTGCGTCCAGGACCCTGGGGTCCAGGAAGTAGCTCTCAAGCGATTCGTAGTCAACATTTTACTGTGCAGTCAATCTCCTGTATATCAAAATAATGTTACCCATATATTTCTCCAAGAACTCTTGTCAGGAGGTCTTGGGTGGAACAATGGAATCGCAGTACCGTAATGCGTTGATGGAATTGGAAACCGCAAGGGACGAGAACTGTGCTTTGAAGGCGAAAATAGTCGACAGTACAAGACGATAGAGCTTTACTGACACGTAAGGCTTGTGGCCTTAGTTCCGGTCGTTCCTAAAGATTTTTTATTACATACATTTTTCAGCCAGGAAGCGTTTTACGCTCTTCAGGAAACCTGGTCTTCCTGCGCTCCGCTGTTCTCAGAATCACGTTAATTTCTTCTGTTCTTTTTTTCGCGGGTGAAATAACTCCGTTGTCCTCACATTGCTGTTTATGACGTGAACGTTTCTCATGGCGTATTTGGCGTGTAGGCGTAATTCGATCCATCGAACTGACGAGTTGCTGCGTCGTCTACATCAAAGAATTATCTCAAAATTGAATGTGACCTATGTACAGACTTTTGGAGTGTTGCTGTGATGTGATATAGTTCACAAAAGGTGTTCACCGCTGATAAAAGGCGCTGTCCACGCTGATCCCATGGGCGGAGACAGATAGCCATGCGACTTCCTTATTGGTGGGTCTCCTTCTCCGAAACGGTACAGACGAGAAACGCTCCAATGAGAAAGGCGCAATGGTACCCAAAAGATCGAAGCAGACCGTGACCTAATCTTGAGAGAAAACATCGGAGCGCTGGTGGCAAATGAAAAATGAGACCCCATCTCAGCCCTACTTTCTCTAGGCAAAAACTGGACCCACGATGAAAACTCAGTGTAGGCAGGAATCAGAGAACTTAATGACCTACCGTGGGGAATATAACGAGGAGCTCATTTCGGAATCCGTTGCTCTTCGATGATTCATTGTTCGAACCGATGTGAAGGAACTCAAAGACATTAGCGAGTACTGCCGCCCATTGCAGGACGACATACGTCCAGAACTGCTGCGTCCTTAATACGAAATTGTAGAGGTGGGCATGGAGTTTGCAGAAAAAAAGCAGATAAATTGGTCAGAAATCATCCTTCTAAGTTTTCTTCGGGTGCTCAGTAGAATTTCTGTGTTAGATTTAGGACCTGCCAGGGATCCTGCATTACAGTCTTGATCGCTGCGAATGTCGAAAATTGTTAGGAGGGCTGAGTTTAGCGCCACACCAGCCCTTTTTCTGCCAGTGGTTGTCGCTTGCCCTATTCTACAATTGGTGGAGAA